CAGGCCTCCCGGAGGTGCCCGGCCTGCCACGCCGCCGCCAGGAAGCAGAGCCTCGCGCAGGTGTTCTGGCCCGAGCCCTCAGACGCGCCCCTGGGGGACCCGAGCACAGCGGCCGCACCCGCCTGTGAGGACCCCGGCGGCCTCCTGGGCCCGGGGCGCCAATAAACCTGCGCCCTGCGGCTGTGGCTGGTCTGCGCCTTTGGGGCGGGAGGCCAGCGCTGTGCTCTGGCGCGTCACTGGCACGGGCGCCCCGACCCCTCCTCGGCCAGGAGCCGAGCGACGCGGTGCCCAGCACCAGGCCTTCAGCCCCTCACAGTCACAGCCCGGCCGGGGCAGGAGGGGCCGAGGCTGGGGCTCCCCCGGCTGACCCCTCTCCTGGGCAGGGCCGACACGGCCCCGAGGCTGCAGCTCCGGGCCCCGCAGCGGGCAGACACAGGCCTTGTGGGAGCCCGCGGGCACCGCTGCCGCTGGACCATGAAGCCCTCGGAGACCAGTGTGGGCACCCCTGGGCAGCCGCCCTGCTCTGGGCTGGCGCAGAGGTCGAGCAGCGGCCGCTTCTGCCGGGAGCAGGCACCCTGCCTGCCGGCGGCCGTCCCGGTGGACGCCCTCACCCGCGCCCAGCCGGAACACGCAGCGCGGGCCCTGCCCCCGGGGCACCTTCTCGGCCCGCGGCTCCAGCCCCAGGGTGTGCCGGCCGGGCCTGACCCTCCGTGCACCAGCTGCCCCCGCATGTGGCCTCCCAGGACATGTCCCACAGGAGGCTGCTGCAGGCCCTGGCGCGCCCCCAGGGAGGCCTCACCCGCTTGCGGGTGAAGCTGCGGGGCTGGGGACGGGCGCCCACGGCTCCCGGGGTCCGAGTGCCGCCAGGCAGCAGATGGGGCGCGGCGCCCAGCAGGCTTCTTGCCCGGGCCAGAGTGCCCCGCCCTGCATCCCACAGCCCGCCGGGGCACAGGTGGCGCCCACCTGCACCAGCAGAGGCTCCAGCGGGCGCTCAGGAAAGTTTATTTTTCATAAAGCCCTTTTGTGATAGTGCCTGTGTCCATTCAGACTGGTGGGGCCCTGACCGCGGGATCCCTTCCGTGTGGGGTGTTCTTCGGGGACACGGGTGGCCCCCAGCTGCACTCTATAAGCTGCTGTCTCTGGGAGCCTGCCTCAGGGCAGGGGACACCCTCCTCTTGTCCCACCCACACCCCGAAAGCAGGGGACTCCCCAGGAGCCCAAGCATTTCCACCTGGCCACTGACCCAGGCAGGGCCCTGACTCCCCGTTCCCAGCAGTCCCTGGTGCCAGTTCATAGGGGAGGGACAGGAACCACCCATGCTGGGCCCCGGGGGGACCTGACGAGCCCCAGCCGTGGCAGGGCAGCTCCTGGTGGTGGGGAGAGGCAGGGTGTCCTGGTAGCCGAGTCTCCTGGGTCAGAGCCGCCTTGCCGGGCCCACAGGGCAGAGCCCGACGGCCAGCAGCCGGCCCAGGCCCAGGCTGCACAGGGAGGAGCCACTGTGGGACCCACCCCGAGGCCTGGGGCCGGGAGGACAGCGGGCCAGTGTCCTTCCAAGTGCGACGGCGTCCGTGGCCCACATGCCCATGCTGCAGAGGACCCCGCTTCCGGCCGGGTACCCTACCACGCCCGCCGGCTCAGCTGCCCCACTCCCCGCGCAGAAGCCTCCGGCGCCCACACAGCTCTGGACAACAGACACTGTCCGTAGGGCGGGCGAGGCAGGGCCGGGCGGCCTAGGTGATGTCCCTCTGCCGCGGCGGCCGGTGCAGGTTCCTCAGCACGCACTTCACCATCCACTCGATGCCCTCGCGCACCCCCTGGCTGTGGAGACGGGGGCATTAGGCCAGGCCAGGCCAGCCCGCCACCTCGCGCTGCCCGCGGGCCCCACTCACCCTGTGAGGGCTGAGCAGGCCTGGGTGAGACAGTCGCGGCGGCCAACCTTGGAGGCGCAGTCGCTGAAGGCCGTCTTGATGTCCGGGATGGAGAGGCAGGGCTGGGGGGGCGGTCAGCTGAAGGCCGGGGCAGGCTAATGTGGCCACCGGGGGCCCCCTCTGCAGCCCAGAGGGGCGGGGCCTGGGGCCAGCCCCAACGGCACAGAGGAGTGAAGGGTCAACACTGGGCCCCTTCTCAAAGGAATGGGCCAGGGCCTGCGTGGTGGACAGCCAGAGCAGGGACAGGCCATGTTTGGGGAAGCTGAGGCCCGTGCACCCGAGGACCAGACGTGCCAGCCTGGGGAGAGTGGACGCAGGCTCACCTCCACGTCCTGCTTGTTAGCCAGCACCAGGATGGGGACGCCGTCCAGGGCCTCGCTGGTGACCATCTTCTCTATGGTGGGTGGACATGACCTTGAACCGCTTTCTGCACCAAGGGTGCGCCCAGGACCCCATGGCCAGCTCCGGGGCGAATGAGACGGACCCTCCCGTCCCCCCCGCCAGGCGGCCGCACCCACCGAATGCCCGCTTGGACTCGGACAGCCGCTCCTCGTCCGTGGAGTCGATGACATAGATGACGCCGTGGCACTCCGCGTAG